AAAAATCTGGGGGCACATTTGAACCCGGAACAATTTTTTTTTAAGGGCCAGGATTTGTTGGGAAGCAGGGCGAAGGGAGTGGCTCTGAGCATCTGCAAAATGCAAGTCTCTCCCGCAAATGAACAGAACAACCAATTTTTAGGGGGTCTAGGATTGGGAGGAAAAAAGGGGCCCTGAATCAGGGTGCGCTGACTCCCACGGAGACACGAGCCCCACCACCTCCTGCATCCCACGAGGTCCCAGAATCTGAGCATCGGTTTGCTAACTGCCATTTCTCAGGTTTGATTGAAGCTTTCATGCCAACTAGAGGACGTTCTCCCATCTCGTGCCTTTCCAGGAAAAGCAAACAGACCCTCAGGCGGTCCCCAATGGACTTCTGCCATTATCCATTCCTTGGCAAAGCAAAGGTCTCCCTCCCCACTTGGCCCCCTCTCCCCCCAGCCCGACAGGGGCCCAGCACGCACCAGAATCTGGACGGTGAGCAAGCCCTCGCCAGCATCTCGAGCATCGATGGTGAATTCGACGGGCAGGCTGGCCGGGATGCCAGAGGCGTTGAGACCGGGGCCGCTGGCTCGCACTTTGCTGGCGTCGTGGGCCGGGAGGACCTTGATCTTGAAGGGGCTGGAAGAAGGGAGAGCAGTCAGAGAACGGGAGAGTGGACCCTGCTTCGGGGCGTGATGGGAAGGACGGGGCTTTGGGCCAGGGTGAAAACAGAGACACCCTCCGATCCACCAGGCACAGGAGAAGGGAAGGGATCAAAAGCGGCAGAGATTCCTGACATAGCCGACATCTGCCCAGGGAACCTATTTTGGCTTTACCCTGGGGGGGGGGCAGAAAGGGCCTCCTGGAAGACAGACAGGCGCAGCAGGCATTAAAACGGAAACCATGGGAAAGAAGCTGGCCCTTGTTTTTCCCCTTGCAGAATCCGGATCGGGTCCCTTCCGCCAGGGATTCGCACTTGCAACGTGTCAATCAGGAAACTTCCCATTGCACCCCACCGAGGACCACTGCTGCACCCCCTTTCCCCCCCCCAGCTCACCTCCGGGGCACTTCTTGTCCAGCGTACTTGACGGAGACGGTGTACGGGCCGTCGGTGGCCGGCGTGTAGTTCGCAGTGTGGGTGCCGTCCCCGTTGTCGCGCACTTCCACCGGCTCAGCCATCCCTGGGCAAGCGGGAAGGAAGGAGGAGTCACCCTCTCGCCAGAACTCCTCTCTCCACCCAAGGCAGGATTCGGGCAGTGGGGCAGGGTTCGGCCAGCCACGCGCTCCCCCAAACGGGGAGAGCACCCCACCGCTGAAGGGCGATCTTTGTAGAGGGCGGATGGAGGAGAGACGGGCTCCGAGGGGCTGAAAAAGGACCTCACGGGGACCCGAAAGCCTGCACGCCACCTGACCCAAGCCAAGTGGGCATGATGGGAGTTGTAGTCCCCCACACTGGGAGGTGCCAGATCGGGGAGGTGGGTGCAGAAACCGTGATGTGCACAAACACCCAGACCAACTGGAATCTACCCTTTTGGCACTTCGGGGGCCTTGAACTACAGCCCCCACATTCCTTTAACACTCGCCATGCAGGCTGGGGATTCTGGGGGTTGTAGTCCAAAGCCTCTGGAGTGCCGAAGTATTCTCATCCCTGCTCCACGGCCGGATATCATCCTGCCAGTCATTCTTCACAGGTTCACCTCCGAGACACTCCGCTGTTGACAAATTCCCACCTATTCCACCCTGTTCCTCAGACTAAATTCCAGACCGGGAAATCATTTCTTGTCCTTTTCCTTCCAAATCTTTCTTTCAAAAGGCAAACAACCCCTGACATCCACAAAGCTTTCGGCTTCGCTCTCCTCAACCCATTTCTGCTGCCCTACACCCACGCTAGGGAAAAAAACACCTTTTTCATCCCAGCCAGCATGGGCTCCTGAGAGATTAATCCCCCCATCCCTCAAAATAAATAAATAAATAAATAAATAAATAAATAAATAAATAAATAAACAAACAAA